TTACCAAGAGCGTTTCCAAAACCATGTTTGACTCAAAAAAAAAGGAATTTAAAAGGGCAGAAGTTCCTCCCTTGCTATATCATTGCCAATAACATGAAAAGTAGAGTGAAACATAAATTTTCACTCACTGCAACCCTGAATCTCAATAATAAACATGTTACATGTCATTAGTCATTGCATAGAACCAAGTGCATTCCTGAAAATGCTATAATAGCCCTTTAATAGACATTTTATAAAATGCATCCCGGCATTTTACAGCAGCTTACCGTCAAAGCTGCCATGTTCTGTACAATACTGAAGCAGTTTGCCATGAGTCTCCACAGAAGGACGAAAAACAAAAACACCAGAGTTGAAGCAATCGGGCCAGCCAGGGTCAGGAGCAGCTGAAAGTTCCTCTCTATCAAACAACTCATCTATATTTGAAAGAACCTGAGATGCACAAACAAAGCACATGTTTATACACACCAGTGATGTGCAGCATCTTCATTTTCTTTGTGCTGAAGCAAAATGACCTGTTAGCCTCACCATAGTGTCTGCATCCATGAAAACACATTTGGAGTAATGTGTGAGGGTCCAACAGTGGAGTTTGGTGAAGGTGACGCCCAGTTCGGGTCTCTTCATCATGGCCAGGTGTGCAGTGTCGCCACTGTCTAGCACATCCACCACCCTCACCTCATCGTAGATCCTCTTCAGCACAGACCTAATGATTTACAATACTATGAAATGAATCACTGTCAACCACCCATGTGGAAAACAAGAGTTCACAGGAACAGTAATGTGTATGAGTGAGAAAAAGTGAATGTAGGTAAAGTTTCTTACTGGCTAGGCTCTGATACTTGTGGACCAATGAGTGCCACCAGCTTCTTGGTTGTATTGTGCTTACGGAGGGATTTGCCCAAAACCATAGCTCCCCGAGCATAGTTGTCATTGGTAGCCAATGTCACAAATGCCTGATCTGTAAAGAAAGAAAACTGAATTAAATTGGTTAAAGGTTGCTCCCACCCAAGTACTAACCACGCCCAACCCTGCTTCGCTTCCAATATGAGAAGAGATTGGGCGCACCCTGAGTTGCTTAACTTAAAGTTGCTTCTTAATATAGTACATACAATTTAAGAATGCTCTCAAACTCGTGTGTTAGTCAGATTCTGTTCTAAATGTTATGAAGTGGTTGAATTGGTCACATAACTGCATCATATGACTTAAATGTGTCATATTTTTCGAAAGCCTCCGTTTTCGCAGTGTGGGGCTGCCCCACACAGTCCACACGCTGAAGAGTGCACTCATTTGTGAGCGGCTCAGAGTAGAGCCACTACTCCTGCACATCCAAAGGTGCCAGCTGAGGTAATTCGCACATTTGACAAGGATGCCTCCTGGGTAAGGTGTTCCAGGAATGTCCTACTAGGAGGTAGACCCATGGCACGCCCAAGAGATTGGGGTGTGTCATGGGAACACCGTGGTGTTCCCTTCGATAGGTAGAGGGAGGTCTGGGCTTCTCTGCTTGGACATCTTCCATAGATAAGGGAAGAAAATTGATGGATGGATGTGTTAGTCAATGAATTCATCCCATTTAAAAAATTTCCATAACTCTTCTGTGAATGACCAAATGATGGAAAGATGCTAGTCTATTTTCCCCCCAAGCCCTTCGACAGATTGGTGACCTCGCCACCTAAGACAGGTGGGATGGGCTCCAGCTTCCTGTGACTCTGAATTGAAGAAGTGGAAAGATGGATAGGTAGATATTTTCCTCCAGTGTAACGGCATTGCATGTATTTTTAAAGTTTACTGCAGGAATATGAAACACACACCAAAAACATTACACTGCAGTTGTAGCATCTTGCCTTTTAGGTGATGCGTTTCTGTGTGGATTCTCTAAAGCATGAATGATCCAAATAATTCATATGTTGATTATTTCAAGTGTTTTTGAATGAGCAACACAATCTAACCTCACTAAAAGTTTTCTCACAAAGTACCCCATAAAGGTTTAAATGTCTCATTAAGGTGATTTTTATTTGCAGTGTGGCATCTACTCTGTACCACCACCTCAGGCTGCTGGGAGAAAAATCTGCCAAGACAAGTCTTGGGAACAACGGCTTGCCTGTGAGAGGACATATAAACTGAGATGACGAAATCAGCATGGCAGCTGGGATAGTTCTGTGACTAGCAGTTAGGCCAACACCAATCCCATTTGGCCTATGCGCTAACCCTCTGGCAGTAAGATACCAATAATGGGCAAGGAGATCACAATAGATAGAGTATGTCTGACATGCTAGCAGCCCAGAGTTTCTATAAGTTTGGGCCAGTTGGAGAACAATGGTTCCAAATACCACAGCTTGCCAGGAAAATTTGTTCTGTCTCACTGCCTTTTCACAGTGCCACACCTCCTTTCTCTTACGCCCCCTTTTCAATTGGTAGAAACCCTTCTGCAATATGAATGTAACACTAAAAAAACACATAAAAGATGAGAATTAGCTCTGCAACAACCCAAGGTACAGTGAAGTCACCGTCCAGGCAGCAGGGTCATTTCATTTTGAGTCAGGGGGACGGTTCCCAGTAAGCTTATACCACAAATTAAAAATTAATTATGGCGACTTAGGACACAGAGTAGTGTAGTAGGTCTCAAACTAAGGTCCAATGATAGTAAAGTAGTCTAAAAAGGTACCCTGTGAAATGATTTTATCGCACTGTGTCCACTGCACCTACTTTTGGCAGTTTCCTAATATATACATGACAAAATGGAACACAGTTATAAAAAGTAGTAACACTGTAATTATGTCACACCGGTAGCTGGTCACTGTGACAAATACAAGTTAATTATGTAAAGTAAGACTGTAACCACTTTAAGAATACTAAACTTCTTATTCAACAAGGGAACACAACTACCCAAAAACAAAGAGAACAGTGACAAAAGACTATATTAGCTACATAATGTCATTTAATGTCACCAAAGTTCGCGCCATTTGCTACTTTTAAAACTTTAGAGAAAAAACAAAAACAAATAATTAACAATAATTTTTTACTATCGACGCTGAGAGTGTTAAAATGTTACCTACCAGCCATGACTGACGAATAAGTCGCAGCTACTCTGTAGCCTGGACTTTGCAGAAGCCTTGCGTGGCGAAAAGGACCGACTAAATATACAGAGGTGGTTTAAATACCAAGATGACAGCAGCCAGACCGGCGTCACGTGACAGCCCCCAACACACCCACCTGCTGTTGACATGCTCCACCGCTACACAGCAGCACCTCAAGCAACACCGCTTTGAACAGGTTTACAGCCTACAGATGAAGAAAAATTGCAATTATTGAAAATATTGTGCATTGCTTCCTCCTCCTAACGTTACGGAAATTTCACAACTCTGAAAAAGTAAAGGGGGAAAAATTCTTTGAGTCAGAGATAACGTTGCACTCTCAGGACATAATTCTACAGCTCTGACCTTTCAAACAGCTGCCGGGTATCTCCCCTGAGTCCTGTCATCTTTAGTTATAGTGACAAATGAAAGACGGCGAAGATGTAATGCGTCCAGGAACAAGATGTCCTGTAGTAAACATTTGGCACGTTGTCGCCACCTTGTGGATTGAAGACTGTATAGCAAGGCATTTATCAAACCGTAGTTTAGGAGGTCATTCAGTGCTCTTATTGTATTACACAACAGTGAATTATTTTTAGCTCAAGTAGTGTAATTTAAGAGGAGTGTCATAATTAAGCAAGAGGATGATATGTCATTTTACCGTCTTACATTTAAATCAAAATAATGACATCAAGTGGCAGAATTAAAAAGCATACAAATGGCAATATTGACCACAATCTTACCAACCTGTTTAACATGCATGCAATGGACTGTTGCCTAAGTAGCTCAAGAATAATTTACTGCAAAAAGCAAATATAATCTTCTTAAAGTGTTATTTTATTAATTAATCTAAAGAAAAAAGATGACTATTATTATTTTTGAAAATGTTACAGTTAATTTGCATATTTGTAAAACAGAAATCTAAACATTATTATGTAAAAGCCTGTTTATCATCTTTTGTCTGTTAATTTTCAGTAATTTAAAGTAAAAATCATTTGTGTTATCATCGAAATAAATGTGTAACTATCCAGCACAGAGGCATAATCTCCCCAGTGTGTCCTGGGTCTGGCCTCGGGCCTTCATACGATGCTGAAATTTCTTCTTTTAAATCACTGAAAGAGTGCCTTTTTAATTTAGGCCCATACCAAACTGCATGGGCATTTGCATTTTTAAAAAGGAGAAATAGAAATCACTGAAATGACAATATTACGAACAAGCTGACTGACAAAGTCATAAAAAATTGGAACAATGAAAAAAAATATAGTACATACTATATTATATATATCAGTGGGATGAGGGTCAATACACTGCTTTTATTTGAATATAAAACTAGTCATATTTTTTCCCCTGCATTGTGATGCGTGAAAACCAGTCAGTGAAATTTACTTTTCTAATTTTACCCCAGAAATGTGAATGTGAAGTAAAATTTCCTGCTGGTCTTTGGCTCCCTTATTTTCTCCACCGAGGCAGATGCTTGGCAGAATGGAGATGCTGCCAAGAAGTGCTCTTTGCTTGTCACATACTGTGCCCTTGTTTAGAAAATCCCTAACAACAGATACCCACGCCCACCTAAGCGCTGCTACTGGAGCAGTGCCATCTGAACAAGAGGGATCACTGTGATCCGAAGGGGTGCAATAAATTTGTGGCTCTTTCTTTTGTTTTCTTAAATGTCTCCTTTATAGACACTTTATAGAAACTATAAGAACATTTGGTGTTTGGCACAGTTACATTATGGTTTCATTATGGTTACATTACACAATATTTTTTCTTAAAGGTTGTGGTATACGTTTCTAAAATGTTTCCCTCTTAATTTGCATTCATTGCAGCAGATGATGAGCCCTAAAGTGAAAGTGTTATTATTGCTGTTGTTCGTACGCAGTAAAGCCTCTGTGTACCAGACACAATATTATCGTATACACATAAAAAAATTGATTCAGCGTGTGGGGATGGATCATTGATTTTATTGTTTGCACTCATCTTGACATTCTGTCAAGCACAGTGAGGAAACATGGCGGGTGGTGCCCTGTATCCATGGATACGGGCAGGAGATGGCTGAGAGGTTGGAGGGGCTGGGGGCTGGTACAGAGGAGCCGAGTTGGCAGGGGTCCTGGCAGTTCCGCATTTTAATAGAGGTTCTTCTGCACGTGGGCCGCAATGTACTTGACGGCCAGCATGGTCTCCTCGCATGTGGGCTTGATCTGAGACTCGGGCAGCAGGAAGCCATATTGACCCTCGTCACGCAACTCGAAGGTGTAGGAATATTTCACTCCCAGGTCGTAGGCCCAGTCATCAGAGCCTCCAGCAGCGGGGTCTAAGGGCAGATGAGGAGAGAGTGAGGGAAATCACTGAGATGGTGACATTCTGACAACCTGGGACAGTCTGCATGTGTTTTCATACACATTTTACTTCAGGGGGGGCAAAAAAAAGAATCCCTTGCTTGAAATAGCTGTGGCTCATGATTGCCTTTTGTGGTTTCAAGAGGCCACATTTCTCAATGGAGATGGGTGCGCTGAGAACATACCATAATGCATGATGACAGAGGTGGAAATAGGTTATCAAGCTATCACTGAATATGCAATCTTCCCACAATAAAGTGTGACTATTTGCTGTACTTACAGATAGTTGGAGCACCGGGGCCGCTGGTGTAGACTGTGCCATACAGGCTACGCAGAGCAGAAGAAGCTCCCTTAGCAACTGCCAACTACAATACAAAATACAAACAAAAGTCAAATGTGTTATAGAGTGAATTAATTATAAGGTTTAAACTATATACATATATATATATATATCAACACAGTATCTGAGTATATCAGACTGAGCAAAGGTGTGTCATTGCCTGGAAATGCTTGAATTTGGAGGACTTTTTAATGTAAAATTTGTCACTTTAAACCAAACAAAGCACGCACACAAACGACACCACCTTTAAAATACAGCTGTTACACGTTATAAATACATACTTTTCACCCTGCGGGTTTCCAGTAACATTTTTAGTGATATTATAGAAAGCAGTAAAAGCATCAGCGAGTTGCAAGAGGAAATGAAACCCCCAGAGAAACGCACAAGCAGGAAATGATATTTCTGGCCAGACTGATGAGTTATGACAGATCCCTGGAGTTCTTTTGTTCTGTAAAGTGTCAGAAGACAGTCTAAATTACAAGTGAGTAATAGAGAGGCAGAGACGTGTGATCTGCCTCAGTTAGTGTGAGAGCTGGAGCAGGGGTGTGAGTGTTAACTGTGCAGCACCACGGACACCCCAGTGAGAGGTAAAAGAGCCATGAGAATGAGCCATGTAAGCAGGGAGTAAATGATTTGCTGCAGCTAAGTGTGGCCCTTAGATAAGAGTAACACAGTAATGGGGTGGGTAGAGTTATATATGTTTATATTATATGATCTATTGTAAAACTTTTTATTTGCTCGTATTCATGTATATCACACATACAGATCATTATTTGAATGAACCGAATTCATAATTATACATAGCCTGACTCAGAGGTAGGTTTTGTACACTCACTGCAATGCTAAGGCAGATAACAGTGACTTACCAGCTCGTCATGGTCTGCAGCTAACTCATAGGTGTAGGAGTAGGGGAAGAGCAGCATCTGAGAATAGGAGTGGATAGTGATGTAGGCCTTGATGATGGATTTATTTTTGCGGATGAAGTCAGCAAGATTCTTGGATTCAATTTCAGATTCAGGAGCGGTGCCACAGTAAGTTTCGCTGCAGGGGTTGGTGGAAGCTCCAGTGGCTGCAATCACATAGAAAACCATGTATAAAAGTTTTCTTTTTCTTTTTAAAATTGTTAAATAAAATGACATAATAAATTACAAACTAAAAATGTTACCAAGCAGCCAAACTGTAACTAAACATATTATTGACTTGCCAGATTAAAATACATGGAAAATCTACATA